CCACAGCTTCTCTGGGAATTCCAGACCAGACCCTCAACACCCTCCCAGCCAGGAATCTCTTCCCAATCTCCCATCTCTCCCTGCCCTCTCCCAGTGGGAAGCCATTCCCTGTGTCCTGTCCCTCCAGCCCTTGTCCCCAGTCCCTCTCCAGCTCTCCTGGAGCCCCTTTAGGCTCTGGAAGGGGTTCCAAGGTCTCCCTGGATCATTCTCTTCTCCAGCCTGGACACCCCTGGCTCTCCCAGCCTGGCTCCATAGGAGATGGATTTTATCTTCTCCAGCACCATCAAACAACTTGGAGCATTTTCCTCCTTCCCTGGGACACAATCATCCATTATTTATCCCCCAGCAGCGCTGAGGATCCCCCACATCACGAGAGGAGCAATCAGGAATCAAGACAAGTGACCAGCACGAGGTGACAGCGAGACAATCTGACCACCAGAGCGACCTCAGAGGTGCTTGATGGAAATGAAAGAGCTGCTCAGCCATGCAAACGAGGCAAAAGAGAGGCAGAGAAGCCTCAAGGTTTGCACAGACACAGATATTGCAGAGCCAGTGATTACAGAAGTGTCTGAAACAGGGAGCAGAAAAGGAGACATAATTAATGTTAGTCACTGGAGAATATTTGACTGAACCGCCAGAGAAAGCTGGGACGTTAAGCAGACCTTCAAATCAGAACCTGCCTCTTGAATACACTCTTTTTTTTCTGGTTTTTTCTTTTCTTTAAGATCAAAAAGGCACCTCCCAGACACGCGGGGCCTCCGACGCTTTCTCACTCTGAGGAAAAACAGCCAGCCCGGCTCTGGCACGGAACAACTCATTTACCAAAGCCTCTGCTTGCTCTCCATTAAACTCTGCTCTCCAGACAAAAGCCTTGTCGGCTCAGAGACCTGAAGATCAAAGACTCAATTATTTACAACCCCGCTACAGCAGCTTCCAAAGTCCCCAGTCGGGATCGGGGTGGCAGGAAGCCAAGTGGCTCCGAATGACTCGTCCCGGCGAGCTGAGGGAAGAGGAGCTCTAAGAATAAAGCAGGTGGGGGTTTAAAGACGTGCCTTTAAAGCGTTTTTCTGCTTTGCAGAGAACAGAGAGGGGACAAGGAAAAGAGCAGGAAGAGGCACAAGGAGCAGGAGAAACTCCAAGAGGAGCAAACACCAAGGGCAGGAAGGGTTTAGGGGTTCCCGCCCATATGGAAAGAAGGGAAGGATTTAAAACATCTCATCCAACCCAAGAGCCCCCAAAAACTTGCCCACAGGGCATTCCAGCACTACTGCATCCCTGGAAGTGTCCAAGGCCAGGTTGGACAGGGTTTGGAGCAACCTGGAATAGCAGAAGGTGTCCCCCCTCACGGAATGGGATGAGCTTTAAGGTCCTTCCTACCCAAACCATTTGGGGATTCTGTGATTCAAAAGCCAAAGGGAACCTTCTCAAAAGCAAGGAGGGAATAAATTATGAAGATGTTCACATTCCTTGATCCCCATCTGCTGATGGATTATCCAACAGCGGCGATTTCCATGAAATGTGGTGCCCCAGACCCAAACATGTCGCAGGGAGAGGTCACAGCTCGGCTGGGAAGGGGAAGGCACCACTGCCCATCCTCCCTCAGCCTAACCCCAAAAAAACCCAAGGAAAACAAAACAACAGACTTAGAAATCACAGAATCATTTCAGTTGGAAAAGAGCTCCAAGACCATCGAGTCCAACTGCCAAGGCCACCACTGAGCCATGGCCCCAAGGGTCACATCCACAGGGATTTGAAATCCCTCCAGGGATGGGGAATCCACCCCTGTCCTGGGCAGCTGTGCCAGGGCTGGACAACTCTTTCCAGGAAGGGATCATTCCCAATATCCCACCTGAGCCTCCCCTGGCACAGCTGGAGGCCGTTCCCTCTCCTCCTGTCCCTCATTCCCTGGGAGCAGAGTCCGATCCCCCCCAGCTCCCTCTTCCTGTCAGGGAGTTGTGGGGAGGGAAAAGGTGCCCCCTGATCCCTCTTTTCTCCAGGCTGAGCCCCTCCAGCTCCCTTGGCTGCTCCTGCTGCTCCAGACCCTTCCCTGCTCTGTTCACCTTCCCTGGACACACTCCAGCCCCTCCATTTCTCCCTTGTTGGAAGTGTCCCAGAGCTGCCCCCATCCCTGGAGGTGCCCCAGCAGTGCCAGCACAGGGGGACAATCCCTTCCCTGCTCCTGCTGCCACACCAGGGCTGGGTGACAACTTGCCTTGGAAAAAAGTGCTTGGGAGTTCTGTGGAAAGAGGGAAGCGTTGGAGGGCTGGGTGGGAATTTTAAGGAGTC